TCTGGACTTTATGGCAAGCCTTCAGATGTTCTAACCATTCATGGGTATTATGCTTTCGACCTTGCTTGTGGTCTTGCTGCAAAGAAAAAAAACGAAGGTTTCAGCATGCAGGTGTTGCTGAGGTTGTCGGTGGCAACACAACGTGGTTAGTAACCGCAGTTCTTGGTCTTTGGAGAAATTGTATAATGAATGTGCAATGTCATTAGTGAGCGTCTCCTCCACTGAGAGTGTTAGAGCTACGATGAATTATCACAGCAGCAACAGGATGTGAGTGGTCTTTTGTTAAGATGAACACAATACGTTGATTGCGTTTCAGTAGGATACTATAATACTTCACAATATTTCATGCCAAGTATGGTATCTAGCAGTGGCATTATTTTTCCAGTGGGGGCTGGATCAAGTTCTTAGTTGCACATAAAAAAATGGCTTACTGGATTAGCCTCACTTGCATCTCTCAATTGCTTTAAGAGATGCAATTGAAGTTAGTTTCTCAGCATCTCTGCAGTCTGTAAAGCAACGACTTTGTCTCAGTGGTAGAGTCTGTCCTCTGTCAACCACAAGGTTGGGGGTTTGATCCCCAGCTCCTGCAGGTACATGTCCTATGTGTCCCTGGGCAAGACACTTAACCCCAAGTTACTCCCGCTACTTTGTCAGCGGTGTTTGAATGGATTAGTTTATGCTGATGGCTACTTTACATAGCAGCCTCTGCCATCAGTGTGTGAATGTGTTGGTGTGACGTGAAGTGTAAAGCAGTTTGAGTAGTCAGAAAATTAGAAAAGCTCAATACGCACTAAAGTCAATTTAGTCCATTTAACAATTGTGTCAATGTTAAAAAGTTGGTGGCCTGTGGGCTTAATGCATTTAGCCCAAAAGATCAGAATAACAAGTGGCATGCCATGACACCTTTCAGTCATTTAAACTAAATAAGTTAATGTTAGGTGATGCTACAGTATGCGCTGTAAAGAAGAAACCCACTTGGTACTTGTTTTCCTTTTCACTATTAGGTTTGGTTGCTGCTTTAGGTTCCACAAAAGTGTAAAAAAAAATCTGTTGTCAGTTATTTGAACAATCATTTTTTCATCTTCGTTGTATGAGAAAGGGAGGGCTTAGCCCTGCAAGCCCCTTCATACAAGCAATCCCTGGTTCCCACTGTGGATGTATATGTGTGGTGGGATTGTGCTGATGAATCTATCCTAATTGGCAAGAACAACCAACTAAAGAGAATATCACACATGATTCTGCATGGCTCACTTTGTTTATGTGTATGTTTCACATAAAGAAAGGAGTTATATGTCTGAGAAGTAAATGCCTAATTTTATTTTATCCCTCTGTCTTTCTTTTGATTCACTCAAGGACTTAAAAGGAACCCCTTTTGACACCTGAATAGACTATTCTGCACAGCAGTCAGAAGCTGCACTACCAGGGTATCATCATGTGGATGAAAAGCTTGCTCTTAGGCTGCCTGACCATTGGACTGCTGCTCGAGCTCTCCAATGCTGGTCTGGTAAAAAAGATAATCCGCCACCGTAGAGAGGCTCTAATCCCCAAGAAAACCCAGGAGAACCTCACCCTACCCCACCCGGACCAGCCGTAGTATTTAACCATGTCTACAACATCAACGTGCCCACAACTTCCCTCTGCACCGTGGACCTCGACTCCCCAGGAGGCTCTGAAGTCGAACACAAGAGCGCTCCTATGGATATGCAGAACACCGAGCACATTGAGCACACAGAGGATGGAGATAATCAGATTGTTTTTACACACCGCATCAGTATACCCAAGCAAGCATGTGGGTGTGAAAACCAGCTGCCAGACATCAAGGATATCCTGAACAGGCTGGAGATGCTGGAGTCGGAGCTGTCTAGTCTGAGAGAGCAGTGCAGCAGTGGGTCCAGCTGCTGTGGGGCTCCAGTTACAGGTAAGTCTATACATGTACTCTATATGTTGTACGGTGATTAAATGTCTTACAATGGTGGTGTGTTTACAGTTTAAAATGCATGTAGTGGACTCAGGTGTAATGTATTTCTAAAGTGCCTCAAGCAAACTGTTTGAAAGCAGAAAGGTCAGGAATAATATTATTTTTAAAATAAGGGAAAATACTGCAAAGATTACAAAATGGGGATGCGATTCTTCCATATTTTTCTGGAATTCCATATTTTTCCAACCTGAATAGTTGATCTGTGAGCCTTTAATTATCCATGTGCTTACCACACATAGACTTTTTTTTGGTTGAAAGACCCAAGTTTATTTGCCAACCATTTTTGCTTTTCCTTTTAAACGAACAAGATCACAATCTGAAATTAATAAAGAAACGGACAATCTCTCCGGGCTCTGTTTTCTCACGCATGTTTGGAGTAGCATCTGATAGGCTGCATGCTCTTAAGTTGATCAGAGAGAAAGAGATGTGTGCTGCTGTTATTTCCTTCCTTTAATGGATTGATTGGGGTGTGGTGTCTCATGTTAATTATGAAACGACTAATGCTACTGTTTTAATCGTTTTGTGCAGCGGATCTATGCAGCTACGCTATCAATAATATATCTCCATGCACAAGGCTCATTTGTTGTGGTCAGAAAAAATGTTGGGAAAAATACTGTTTAAATCATGCTGCGGTGATAAATAAAACATGTGAATGTATTAATCACTGATGTGAAAATCTGTCAGGCCATCACGACAATAGCAAGAGGACACATGTATATATCATGATTATAAAATTGGTCAGATCATTGATCAGAATGCAGGAAAAGATATTGTTTCTGAAATTGAGGTGAAACTTCCCAAATAAAATCCCCCCCAAACCCCGCCGCCCAAATATAAGGGGTTGTCAGGTAATATATGCATGACAATGACCATGTGAATGCACACAATGCTGTTTAAAGGTTTATTTTAGAAACGACAAAGCAGTGCCACATCTTCAACAAGTGCTATGTATTCACCCAGTTTGTACAATGTCTGTCTTTTGGACTGCTTCCCTACGGTAACCGCTGATTACAGGGACAGTTGCCTAATTGTAGCTCTAAAAGAGTAAATGAATAGATTGTAAAGGCTTCTTCACTAAATGTATTTTGCCATTTTGGAAAAAGGTTGACAGACATCCTTATCCTATTCTGCCTTCTTTCAGGTGAAGTGTCCACAAAGCCGTTCTGTAATGGCCGCGGGAACTGGAGCACAGACACCTGCAGCTGCGTATGTGAACCTGGGTGGAAGGGGCCCAACTGCACAGAACCTGAGTGCCCCGGTGACTGCCAGGACCAGGGCCGCTGTGTGGATGGCAAATGCGAGTGCTTCGAGGGCTTTGGTGGGACGACTGTAGTGTCGAGCTCTGCCTGCTGGACTGCGGTGACTATGGCCACTGTGTTGACGGGTCCTGCGCCTGTGAGGATGGCTTCATTGGGGAAGACTGCGGCCAGACCAACTGCCTCAACAACTGCCTGGGCCGCGGACGGTGTGTGGACGATGAGTGTGTTTGTGACGAGCCTTGGACAGGTTTTGACTGCTCAGAACTCATCTGTCCCAACGACTGCTATGACCGCGGACGCTGCGTCAATGGAACCTGTTTCTGTGACGAGGGCTTCACTGGTGAAGACTGTGGAGAGATTACCTGTCCTGGTAACTGTAACAACCGTGGCATGTGTGTGAATGGCCAGTGTGCGTGTCAAACCGGCTACACTGGAGAGGACTGCTCAAAGCTCACCTGTCCAAAGAACTGCAATGAGAGGGGCCATTGCTTCAATGGAAAGTGTATCTGTGATCCAGGATTTGAGGGTGAAGATTGCTCTATACTCTCCTGCCCTGACAACTGCAACAACAGGGGCCAGTGCATAAATGGAGAATGTGTATGCGATGCAGGATACCAAGGTGAAGACTGCAGTGAGCTCTCCTGCCCTAACAACTGCCAAGATCGCGGCCGCTGTGTTGACGGACTGTGCATATGTGACAAAGGCTATGCTGGGGAGGACTGTAGCATCAAGACCTGTCCCAAAGATTGCATGGGACGCGGAGAGTGCGTTGATGGCAAGTGTGTATGCTTCGTTGGCTTCACTGGGAAGGACTGTGGTGAGTTGACCTGCCCCAATGACTGCCTGGACCGCGGCCATTGTGTGAATGGACAGTGTGTATGTCATAAAGGTTTCACTGGTGAGGACTGCAGTGAGAAGACATGTCCCAAGAACTGTCTTGATAGAGGTTACTGTGTCGATGGCAAATGTGTATGCTATGAAGGTTTCACTGGGCCGGATTGCTCCATACTGACCTGCCCCGACGACTGCCAGGACCAGGGACGTTGTGAAAATGGGGTGTGTGTTTGCGATGAGGGCTTCATTGGAGAGGACTGCTCTGGAGGTAAGACAGCATGCATAAACCTAACCCTAACCGTAACCAATGGGAGATTTTTTTGACTGTGAATCATCAAAGTGGATACGAATGGAATAGAACTAAATAAGGGTCTTTTTAATTACTAGAGTTAAATAATAACATCAGAATTTGGTGGTATTGATGGAAGTAGCAACATGTCATTGAGTAAATCCTGAGATAATATTGTCTTTTGCAAAGTGGGAGTTGAGATAAAGTCACTTTTTCCACAGGATGTTGAAGTTATTCAGGCATCAACTTAATATTGCCCTATCAAATACTTAATGTAAATGTTTAGCAATCACATTTATTTTTCCATTTAGACCTTTCTTACTAAACAATACTATCGTCCAGTGCTACAAGGGACTGATTTTCAGTGTCTCTCCACAGTCTCACCACCAAAGGATCTAACAGTTGTGGAGGTAACCCCAGAGACCGTTGACTTGACCTGGGAGAATGAGATGCGTGTGACCGAGTATCTGATCACCTACATGCCCACTGCCCCTGGAGGTCTGGAGCTGGACATGCAGGTGCCTGGAGACCAGAAGATAGCCACTATTCGGGAGCTTGAGCCTGGTGTGGAGTACATGATCAGTGTCTATGCTGTGCTTAACAACAAGAGGAGTGTTCCTGTCAGTGCTAGGGTGGCTACACGTATGTCTATCTTCTCTGTGTCAATTTAGAAAAAACAAAGCGGTGTATACATCTGGATGTAATGTAGTGAGAGTTTCACTTTGTGCCCTCCTAGATCTGCCTGAGCCTGAGGGACTCAAGTTTAAGTCGGTGCGGGATACATCAGTAGAGGTGCAGTGGGACCCATTGGACATTTCCTTTGATGGCTGGAACCTCATCTTCAGAAACACGGTGAGTCCTACTACTAGATATGTAAATGGAGCTTTTGTATTCCGTGAGGTTGTTGAACTTTAGAGCCTGAATCATTATCCATTTTTTCCCTTGGTAAAACACCACAAAAGACCCACTGCAGAACCCCTGCTTCAAACTCAGTGATTGCTTTATGTGGATATATGAGGATCAGGTTGAATGCACTGTGGAAAAGCATGCTGCCAAGCCAGAAGGCAAAAACACAGCAGCTTAAACTGTTAGTACATCCAACAGTGCCAATGACAATACAGCATGGAGCCAGTGTTACTCTATTTATTTTCCTTTTTGAGAGCATATAGAAACTATTGCAAACAGTGTTACTGGGTTCTGCTTAAAGTCACACTCTGTTAAACTGAGCCCCCTGTCAACCCTTGCATCCAAACGCCACCCAGAGCACCATTATGTATGATTTGACAGTTTTTTCTTCCCACTCCACACACGATGCCAGGGCTAGTCTTTGTAGTGGTTGATGACTGATGTTTTTTTGGGTACTGGCAGAAAGAGGAGGATGGTGAGATTCTTAACTCCCTGGGCCGTCCAGAGACCACCTTTGAGCAGTCAGGCCTGGGTCCTGGCCAGGAGTACGAGGTCAAACTGCAGGTGGTGAAGAACAACAAGCTTGGAAAGCCTGCCTCCAAGAACGTCATCACAAGTAAGTCTACGCATCCACATTGTTTACCGGCTTACCATTCTTTTCCTCTAGACCTACTACATGCTTTACACCCTGTTTGCTAAACTGTTGAGATATTGTGTGAAATGATGATGATTCGGAAAACATTGCAACCCCATATTTGATTTTGAACATTATCACAAAGTCCATGTCAAATGTTGAAAGTGAGACATTACATTGCTTTTGCACAATTATATGCCAAAGACATGTTTAAAAAAAGAGTTGGGGCAGTGGCAACAACATTTGTAAAAATAAGGTTAACTGGCAACAGGAAAGTTACAATAGCACACAGTTCAAAAGCCAGCTTCTGTGATGGTATGGGGGTGTACTGATGCACCAGGCATGGGTAACCTGCACATTTGAGAAGGCACCATTAATGTCCAAATCCTATATATTCAGGTTTGGGAGCAATATATGCCGCCAAATAGACAACTTTATTTTTTCAGGAGAAGGCTTTGCTTATTTCATTAAGACAATGCCAAACATTTTGGATGTAGTACAGTAGCATGGCCTCATAGAAAAAGAGTCAAGGTGATAAACTTGCCTTCCTGCTGTCCTGACTTGTGACCCATTGAAAGTATTTGGAGCATAATGAAGCCTGAAATAAGACAAAGGAGACTCTGAACTGTTGAACAGCTGACATAATACTTAAAACAAGAATTGTAAAACATTCCACTTTCAAAGTTACAGACATACGTCTCCTCTGTTCTCAAACACTTAAATGTTGTAAAAATAAATAGTGATGCAAATGATGGTAAATGTGACCTCGTCTCATGAAACGTGGTGCTGGCATTAACTTCAAAATGGCCATATGATTTAAAAAAATCAATGAAACATTGATTCTGTGATTTCCAAATCATCACATCCTGTTTTAATTTACATTTACACAACGTCCAACTCTTCAGGGAATGGGGTTGTATTTGCAGTAGGCCTTATTACATTTACTGCCAACTGCACAGGTACCTTCCCTGCCCAGCCTCTTCCTGTTTCTATATCCAGCTGAATTTACTCCAATACTCCTGTTTTGATCTTTTTTTATGTCGCTTTTCCATCCTTGAATTTATCTTTCAACATTCAAAAAATTTGAAGAAGACTCTTTCATTGTTCTGAGTCTGTGCTGCAGAATGAAAATAGGGGACTTTTTAAAATATTTTTTTATTTGTTTTTTTGTGAAATACATTACCAGTAAAAGCAGCAAAAGCATGTACTCCTTTTTATATATTGCGTTGGATCAGTGGTATTGGGGCAATCCATCTTGTGGCCCCGACAGCGTATTGAAAACAGCCAGACATGCCAACCTTGACTGATTGGCTCATTAAATTTCATTGCATTGTTGTGATTTCGCAAGGGCAATAAAAAGTGATATGAATTTCCAGCCCTATTGGCAAGTTATAAGACATCTATATCATCTCATCAGGCTATAATGCCAGTAGCGTCTGTTGGCAAACGGATGGAGGAGCCAGGGATCAATAAAAGACAGAAAACAGGATTGAATTCTGGCCTTGCACTGCCAAACCACTGGTTCTCTGTAGTAGGTGTTTTTAAGGTGTCTTCACTTGAGGGTTAAGGTAAATATACTGGTCTTGTTGAAGCGGTTAAATGTGTATTTTCTTTCAAACGTAGCCTCAGCGTTTGGCTCCCCAGGGTGAAACTTAAACCTTCACTCAAACTGAGCTGCATGTAGCTGTTACCGCTTGGAAACTCCTTTTTTTAGCACATCAGATTCAAGAGAGGCACAGCACTGTTCATCATCTTCATCATGAAGTTTTAAATAATGTGAACATGTTCTGCATGTTGCCACAAGTATGCACACAGCAGTGAGAGCAGACTGATAGATAACGAGCAAAGTGAGGAGATATAACATTTTGTTTGAATAGAAAATTAAAAAAGGATAAAAAAATGATTCAGTTTTCGTCATGATTCATATTCTGTTAGTCCAAAAAAAACGCGGGATGTTTCAGATATCCTCCTCTTGTGTTTGCCCACTTGTAGATTTGTTGCTAGATTATAAGGTTCAGAGGTCACTATGTCACTAAGGCTGGTTAATGTCTCCCATTACAACGGCTTGCAATATTGTACTCTAGGATTTGCATGCTAAGGGCTAATTCTTGAAGCGAGTCCCTCCCCTCTCCCCTTCTCCCCCTCCAACTGAACCCACCATGTGTGGGAGGCACCAGTCAGTCACCAGTCATGCTCAGAGGACACCATCCTCCCAGGAGAATGGTATCGTGACACCAATAAAAAAAAACCCTCTCAGCCTTCTCAGAAGACAAATCAGTGTTAAGCTTCGATGCAAATTCTGTGTTTTATCAGCGCTGCACAGAGTGTTGACTTCCCCTGGAGTTGCTTGCATGTGACAAATCAATTTTATTGGTAAAAAGGCGCCCTTCATGGCCCAGGGAGTTGATCTGGAAAGAAGTTCAAATACCCTTTAACACTAAAGATGACTGTCACGTTTTTCCTTACCTACAAACAACATTATTTCAATATACAATGAAAAGAAAATTTGAATACATAAATAAACTATTCAAATTATACTTAGAGACTGCTTATTACTCAGGAAAAGGAGCTTGGAGCCAGGCTGTTGTGATGCCAAAGTCGTCAGATACCAACGCTTTGCTAAGCACCTCAGTGTCTCATATGGACATCCAAGGAAAAATGTAATGTCTGCATCGAAGACACCAGGCGTTCATTTTACTCTGATGTAAACCCCTAAACAGCAGTATTAGACAAACATAGAAACCATGGAAAAGTGAGGGATGTGTTAAACAACCCTGGAAATGGTCCCATTTGAAACAAATAGTCCACATGGAGTACATTTCTAACAGAAGACTGTCGATGAGGAGTGGAGGTGACCAAACAGAGCTTCACCCATTGTTGACTGAACTCACATTCAAAACTTGGAATTCTTTTGGCTGCCGCCATCTTGGCTTTTAGGAGACAGGAAATGACCATAACTGGACAAGTGTATAAGCATTATTACCCCTCTATCCTGGTTGAAAGGGTGGGGGGCAAATGGGCTATATTTGATGACCCAGGATGAGAAAGCATCAGTCCCAGCAATTACAGGCTGTATACTGTACATGAACCTAGCTTTAAATCCTAATTATTCC